TGGCGAAGCTCACAGTCCACTTTCCTTCTGTTCATTCATAGACTGGAGGCAGAGTCCCTAGAGGAGCCCTTAGATCTTGGTTCCTGTCCTCCCACTCCCTGCCCCCAGCAGAAGGGCAACAGCACAGACCTCGCCTGGACTTGCCTCCAGATCCCAGCCTAGTGGGCGGGCCAAGATCAAATCGCATCCCTGGAATGTCCATTATCCCTTTCAGAGGCCCAGTTTCTCCCTCTTCTACCTTCTTCCTCCCTCCAGGCCTCTTCTCCTTTTCGTGTATGGAAAAGAGGAGGAGGAGGAGGAGGAAGCAGTGGGGAGGAAGGTAGAGGAGAGAGGATGAGGAAGGGGAGCTCTGGCCAATGAATGTCATGATGTCAGCATGTGAACACAGAATAATTTATCTCATCCTTTGTTTTAAAGTCCAAAGCAAGCTTGAGTTATCAGGAAATCGTCTTCCAGGCAGGCGTCACGTTTCCTTAAGCACCTAATGCAGACCCCATGCTGGTGTTCCTGCTTCCCAATAGAACAAGCAAGAGGATGGGCTGTGAGTCCTACAGTCAGAATGGAGGGGCTATTGCCCTGACTCAGCTTTTTGAGACACATACACCCTACAAGCGTCTTTAGTATTTCCACCACCATCATTATCACCGTGATCTCTCTCACCATCACCAGAATTACCATCAACACCTTAGTCCCCGTCCTCACCATCTTCCTGATTTCTGCTGTCACCACCATCTGTATCACCACTACCTCACCATCATCACAATACCGATATCACCACCATCGCTATGGTCACCATTACCGTCATTACCGCTATTGTCACCACCAGCAGCATTATGTCGCCCATGTCCCTCTCTTGCACAGTCCCCTGGAGTCCTCACTGACTTGGCTTTCAGGGCCAGAGATTTGGCTAACAGGCCTTAGAAAATTCCCGGCTCTGAGCCCTGGATAGCAGATACCTGTCCTGCTCTGTACATGCGTGGTAGGGTAGTGAGTCCAGTCCCCCTAGTGCCTGTACTCCTGGACTAGAGGTCTGCCTGAAGTCTGGGTCTTCACTTGCTTGGGATCCAGCATTGCTGCTGGGACAGTGGGACCGTTTGCTGAGTCTTCAGGCCTCATGTGTTTGCTCGCTACTCCTTCCCTCTATCTTCTCCACACACCCACCATCCCTGGAATCTAGTGTGAATCTTTACAGGGACAATGCTGCATCAGGGATCCTTTTCCCCAGGAAGCTCGGCTTCTAAACCTGGCTCAGAACCCTCCGAATTGACCCCTCCTCACCATACCCAGTACCCTTGTGTCCATTTGCAAACCACAGACAGACTTTTCTAGCAGTTATAGCAAAAGGAATCAGAAGCAGGTGAAACTGACTTCCATGGTATGTTTTGTTAAACCCAAAGCACAGTCTAAACATATCCAGTCAACAGGAGTCAGGGTAGGAGTTAGAACATCTGCTGCTCTGGATTGTCTCCACTGATGTGGTATCCAATGGACCACTCAGCATGGCTTTAGGGGCCCAGTGGCTGCAAAGTGCAGTGAGTGAGGGTCTGGACCACAGCACACTCTGTCTTCTCAGGGAGCAATGTTCCAATGCATTGGTCTACATGGAGACTAAAGCCCCATGTCAGAACTGAGTGGGCCATCCTTATTCTCCAGGGACTGGCAAGTGGGCCATCCATGGTTTGCTGACCAGAACAGCTCACATGCCAAAGCGTAACTCTGAGACCTTACAGTCACCCGCCCAACGCTTAGCAGCTTCTATGGCTTTGGAAGCCTAGCTGTGGCTATGAATCCTTCCTTTGCTCTCAGTGGAGCCATTTTGGGGAGACTTTTGTGGTTTGTGGGAGATAGTGGGGCACCAAGCACTCTTGGCAGCTTCCTGTTCAGTTGTCTTAGACAGAGTTGTCACTAAACCCTGTGTTGTGTGTTGTGTGGGTTTGCCAAAGGACCAGAGGTCTGTCCAGCCCAAAGATGGGGCACATGACTGTCAATGGGGTAGGGAGCCCTCCTGAGACCCATCCCTGAATAAATGCCATACGGGGTGGGGAGGAGCAGAGGGAAACTGACTGTCAGAAGCCTTCCCGCAGCTCCCTGACAAGCCTCGGGTGGGGCTGAGCCAGGCAGAGACTTAAAGGCATTGCAGGGCTCTGATCTGGAGGTAAGGGTGGGAGGAGCTGCCAACTCACACCACTGCTCTGTATATGGAGACTGTCTGTGGGTCCTGCCCAATTTCTCATTTACAGGGAAAATTTCAACACACGCCCAGGTCCCTGATATTCTGGGAACAGAGAAGAAGTTTGCATTCCCTACCCAAGCAATGAGTTCTTTCCCTTACCCCACCCCACCACCGTCTCTCTCTTACACACACACACATACACACACACACACACACACACACACACACACACACACACACAATTGTGTGAACAGCCCACACATTTGGACAGGAAGAGAGGAGAAGATTCAGCCAGTTGCAGAACCTGCATCTCAGTCTATTCATCCTGAACGACATTGCCTTGTCCCCTCCCATCCCTCATTCCAACACGTGTGTGGATGTCTCCAACCTCCAGCCACACCAACCTGCCAATTCTTCTGGGGTCTAGCCTACATGTGTTCCATTTCGGCACAAGGACGCAGAGCAGGGTAAGATTTCATTGAAGAAGACTGTTTCTAAGTTCAAATGTCATATTCATAGACTGTTAGCTGTATGGCCTTGGGTGATTTACCTAACCTCTCTGAGCTTCAGCTTTTGCATCTCCATTGGAGGATGGTTGCATTTTCTTATGACTGTGACAGGAATTTCAGAGATGCTGAGCATCAAAAGATGTTGGTGGTACCTAAGCAAGTCTTCTCTCTCCGCACAGGCATGGCACATGGGTGGGAATTACCGGGAACACAGTCCTTGGGAAGGCTCACATACTCTACCTCCTTCCTCCAAGCCGGTGGGCAGTCAACACTTGTCCAAGCGAAAGAAGAGGTAAAACAAACTGTTCCTCACCCCGAGTGTCAACAGCAACACTGCCATACGTAGCGGGCTTGGTATCTGAGCTCAGGCTGTGTCTCCTCCCTTTAAGATGGACCCCTCCCCAGCTGGCCTCCCCTTCCTTCCATGCACATCAGATAGTCTCCCTCCCAGCCCACTTCCTCGAAGTCTTCTTGGCCATTCTCACTTCCCATATACTTTTCCTTCCATATGGCCAGTGAGCATCATTCTTTCCACGGGGCTCCCTGGCCTCTTGCTGGACTTGAACTCCTTTTCTGTATTATTTCTGGAGGATGCCATGTGTGGAATTTGGCCACAAAACCAGGCACTGGCTTCTGGGCAGATCCCAGCTCTTTACTGTTAAGGGTACCGTGTCAGTGGATATGGGTTTTGAGGCCGTCCGGGAACCCCAGACCTTTGTACTAAGAGGCTTCAGATTCCCTAAAAGGATGGGGTGGGTAGCTTGGGAGCTTTTGCTGGAAGCACCCCCTGCAGACCCCAGATCCCTCCAGACCCCAGATCTCTCTGCTGAGATCCCCTGAAAAGCTCTGATTCTGTCCCCCACTGTCCGGCAGTCAGAAGAGCTCTGGCGGCAAGGGAGCAGGCCGCAGTGTGGGACTTACCCTAAGCTTCTCCTCCCGTGCCCTCACCCTGACTCTGACCAGTTCTCCATCCACACCCGGCCCTCCCAGGCCCAGCCACCTGGAGGCCCACACCCAGTCACATCCAGGCCTGAGGCAGAGGCAGGCATAGTTCCTTCCTTCCTGGGCTCCAGACTAGGAGATGTTGGGAGTACTGTGAGTGGAGACACAATGACACAGTGTCTGATCCTGGCCACTTACTCATCCTGACACTGGGCAAGTCCTGAGTCATGCCAAACCTCTGCTTCTTTCTGGCCATCCTTTGTGGACAGAGTTGGTATTATGATCGCTATTATTGTTATTGGTAGGGTTAGGTGCTGGCCCCCACAAGCACCATGCTAGAGGGTTAGAGGACTTGGGTATAAACTGGACAGGTTTATTCCATGCATGCAACACCTTAGGGTGCCTGTTACCTAGTCCCAGTCAGGTCTGAGCTTCACTGGAAATGGACTGAGCCTGTGTACACATAGGCAGGTAGCTAACCCTGACTCCAAGTCCCCTCAATGAATAGGCATGACAGCCCCCCAAAAAACCCTTGGCATAATTCCATGGCAATAGTCTTGCTTCCTTCTCCCACGGTTCTTGGCTCTCATGTGGGCCTCAGACTTAGTGCTCACCCTGCTGCCCCAGGCTGCCTCCCTTCTGCCTAGCATCCACCTCACTGCCCCTAGTAGTTTTCCCCCTTGCCCAGCCACACCCCCCCACCCCCAACCGTGCTCTGCTCCAGTAAGCTTCCTACTTTGCCACGTGTCTGCTTCCCCTGGCTCTCGAGGGTGCAGACTGCTGTTCCTCCCTCTGGACCCAGGTGGGAGAGAAGCCTCCAGAAACCTTCTGGGAATGGCAGGATAGGAACACACTCACTGAACAAACCATGGAGGGCCCCAGGAGCTCAAGGTGGCAACAAATGCAGCTTGCAACCCCCCCCCTCCCCCAGCGCTGCTGGCTTAGCTGGAATTTGCTGGAAGCAGGTAAGTTCCTTCCTAGCTTTTCCTGGGGTCTCCCAGTACCTCTCCTCTTGGGAGCGCTGATGCTCAGAGTCCTGGGGTTTTCAAACTCCCCAGGAACCCCCTCATTTTATGCTGCTCTGAAATAGGTGAATGATCCACCCCAGATCACACAGCCAGTCCAAAGTGCTGATCCCCCAACCCCCCATTTTGTTGAGTGTTACTCTATGAAAATAAAGGAAAGAAGACTGGCTCTCTCTTGAGGGGTGTTCCTTCTGCCCCCCACTCCGCCAGCTTCTTCAGATCCCAGCAGCCCTCTCCCCTCTCAGGGCACCATTCCAATCCATCTTGTCTTGACCCCCAGTCCCTTGGCCTCAGCACCAGGTGGGAAGAGATCAGGTCCCCCTCCACCAATCCTTTCCAGGCAGGACTCACCGTGGCCAGGACGCTGCCCGCCACCAGGACTGCCACAGCTGCCAGCGTCCAGGGCAGGAGCCACCTCATGCCTGGAAGTCAGCGGCACAGGCGCTACCTTTCAGCCCAGAGGATGCAGATGCCTCTCCGGGGAGCGGGGCCAGGACTGGGCTGGCCCATCAGAGCAGCGGAGAGCCTTCCTCAGCCCCCGAGGGGGGGTTATGAAAGCGACATCTGACGTCAGGCCAACAGACCAGCCCTGCATTTTCCTCTAAAAAAAACTTTTCCTGCCTCTCTCCCTCTCGCTCCTTTTCTTCCCTCTGTCCCCACCTCCAGCCCAGCTTGGCCAGCCTCCCTGCTCTGACAGCTCTTAAAGGGAAAGTTCCAGGATTGACTCCACATGGGGAGGTGAATTCTCACCCAGCATCCTCCATGTTCTCAGAGAGCCCAGGCTCTCAGGGAAGGAGGGTCCAGGCTGGAGGTGGGGATGCTGGTGACACTGTGGGGGCTTTGCAAGGGGTCTGAGTGTGGAGAGACTCCCTTCTGTCTCACTGCCCTCTTCCCATAGGCTAGCCTTTCTTCCCTGTCTCTCCCACCTCTGACTCAGCTCCACCCAGAAATGACAAGACTTTACCACTGCCATGCCTGGAGGTGTGCACTGTCAGTGGGGTCTGCACTGCTCCTCAAGGCCATGGACATTGGTGGCAGTGCCTCTCTCAGCTGGCTCTTCAGCCAGGACTCCTTAACCCATCAGCCTGCCTTCAGTGCCTTTGGGTATTTCTTCTTCTTGGTGGGATGGGGCTCCCGGCCTTGGTCCTTATCCTTTCTAGACCTAGTCAAAGAAATGTCACGTTTGCTTGCCAAAGAGAAGGGAGCAGAGAATATCCAGATCCACCCCAGGTAGTTCCAGAATCTCTGCATAGGCACTGTTCAGCCTCCTGCCTCAGTTTCTCCTCTGCACTATCCTGTTACTGCATCCCAGAGAGACCAGAGCAGACTTCAGAGGGGCGTTATGGCCAGTGTGGGTCATATCCTGGTCATTGCCAGCCAATGCCTGCCAGGGGCTCCTCTCCTTCTTGAGTACCATCCCTCTGTCCCATCCCTTACTGCTACCTGCCTGTCTCCTACAAGACTCCATTCTGTGCACTAAGCGTTCATCTCCCTTCCCTTTCCTGGCAGCTCACTAGTAGGGGATGCTGTCTGTTTGGAGCAGCAGTGACTGTACCCACAGAAATCATTTGTGATCATCACAGACATGACCCCCAAAAGGTGACTCTGATGGTTTATTGAGTCATTCACTTAGACTGGGCCTCTGACCCAATTCTAACCAGTGAGACATAAGAGGAAGTCTTAAAAGGGACCTCATTTCTTAAGAAAAGAGGATTCTCTATTCATTTGCTCTCTGGCATCCATTGTGATGGCTGGAGCTGGAGCAGCCATTTTGATATAAGAACAAGGCTGAGACTGATGAAAAAGTCTGGGTTCCTGGAAGTTTATATTGTTATTGAACCACACGTGAGATGAATCGGCAGCTCATGGCCTTAGTCTCAGGTAGTCAGGTATTTTGTTCTCTAAAGCCAATTCACATTAACTGATATTTGAGAATTGAAAAAAAATCATATACATAAGCAAACAGGGCAGGAGTGTGGAGCCATGAGGTCAATTGCCCCAGTAGCTTATGATTTTCTTCTCATTAGCTCATCCAATTGCTTCTGTAGCTGGGACTCCTCAAGGCCAGCATGCTGGCACTTGACATTAAAGGACTCTCCCTAAGTACTGGGGACCAGTGAATAATTTATGGTCATTGGACAGACGGCGGGCATGGACATGTCCCATGCCATGGACCATCTTACAACTCCCTCTGTGTTGTGGCCAGGCAGGACAAACTCAGAAGCGCTAGGCAATTTTAAGGCTCACACACCAGAGCATTCTCATTGCTGACATGCACAGGGTCGGGAACAGATTTCCCAGGCCTCCTGGGCCACTTCAGCTTCTGAGGATTCTGCATCTCCAGCCCGCCAAGCTGAGCCTACAGAACACATGCTGCGGCTCCTTCCTCTGTTCTGGGTCTTCTCCCACCCTGCGCCCCATGAACTCCGTTTCTTTTCATCTCTAGGGACAGCCAGCTCCATCTCTCCAGCTGCGGTGATTGACTGTCCCATGTCTCAATCAACTTCCCGGCAGCTGTTTCTTTAAAAATGTTCACTGGAACACTGTCTTTGGGGAAACCGAGGCCCAGAGAAGAGAGATCTGGCAAGCATTTTAGTGTCAACAGAGAGCAGTTACTTGAGTTTAATTCCGGTACCGAGTTCAGGGCATAAGTGGGGTATTGCCCCAGGTCAACGGCAGGTGTCACAGCCTCCTTCCATCTCCACTTGGACTACGTTCTCCGAGAACATCTTCCTAGGACAAGGCTCCTGATGGCTGCCTCAGTGTCCACTGCATTTGGTTTTCAGGCCTTATTCTATCTTATTCTCCAGTGAATGTCCTTGATGTACCTACAATTCCCCACGGCAGAAGCAGAGAGCCTCTCACCTTTTAAAAGTTTCTCAGAACTCAGTCTCTGGCTACCATCCTACCTGATACCACTCCCATGTGATTCATGGATGGACCAGTACTACCCGAAGACAACTGGCTTGAATTCCTGCCCCCTGACAACATTCAGCTGTGTGGCCTTGGAGTTCTCTGTGTTCTTGCTTCCTTTCTGCGGCTCCTGGCACTGAGAAAGTGATGATGATGGTGATGATAGGGTGTATGTGTGCGCGTACGAATGGGCACGCGCGCTAGTAGCTCCCTCCCCAAACCATGTCTGTAGAACGATCTCTACCTTCTCGGCCCCTGTCCTGGTAACATTCCCAAGGCAAGAGTCTGGCCCAGGGCATTCTTGTGTCCCACACCCAAACCCGCTGTTCGTGTGCAGGTCATAGAAGGACTGTTTTTGGCTGTCCCCTTGTTCCTATCAAAGTTCTGCCTTCTACTTCATCTCAGGCAGGCTCCCTGCACCAGCAGGAGCTGGAATCATGCAGGAGGTGACCTGGCAGATCTCCCGGGCAGCTGTAAATAATAAATAAATTCCAAAGAGCGGATCGGGGGAGGGCTTCCAGAATAGGGTCAGAGAACAGCCTTCCTCCACCAGGCACTGAGGCTAGCCAGACCAGAGCCAGATGCACAGAAGATTCCAGGTACCCAGAGGCCCCGAGGCTTCCATCTGTATCAGATCTGCTCACAGCCTGTTTGTTTGTAGTTTTTTCATCCCATGAACATGCTGGGAGCCCACACTGCTTGCAAGTAGGTGGAAGAGGGCCAGGTCTATGCAGGCCCGGGCTGGCTGTTCAGCATACACATTAGCGGCTTGCTGATTTGAAAAGCTGCCTTGAGTGGCTGTGGGTGGATTGAGCTCTGTCGGGCCCAGGCACCCCCTCCTTTCCTGGGACCCAAACCACGCAGGGAGCTCTGGGCTACCGCTTTAACTAGCTGCTAACAGGAACAAGGTTACTGTTCTACCGTGTCCAGCCTCCTGCTTCCCCCAAGTCTTTCTCATTTCCCGTCTCTGCTCCTAGGTCCCTTAGCTGATGTTGACTTGCTAAAGTCTAGCCACAGATAGGGAACCCTAGGACATGCCACTACTCATAAGGGGAGGAAAAAGGGGAAAGCAAGGGCCTTGGTATGGTAGCCCAGGTTACTTAAACCATATGAAGGATAATGTTTGCCTCCAGCATCCTGATGCACAGGTTGGTCCTCAACACCTGGGAGAGGTTGAGCAAACGGTTGTTCATCATCTTCTTTGGGCTTATCAGGGAGGCTCAGTTTGTGTTGCCAGCCTGGGGCACCTGGGCTCAGCTCTCACTCTCAGCATCCCTTCCCTGAGGTTGGCTGTGGTGTGAGGCAGGATCTCCAGTTTTGTTCATCACTGGTTGCCAGGTAAAGTCTACAGTCTTGCTGGTTTGCTCTGGTAAGGACACGCGCACGTCAGGGAGGAGACATTGAAACGAGATGACAAGAAATGCCTCTCTAGTCAGCATTGCTGGTGTGACCAGCAGATACAGCCTGTCTACGCTTCAAAACCAAACGCAAAGGGTTCTGAACTCCAGCAGAGATGCCCTTCCCAGCTCCTGCAGGGTCTTGTGGCCCTGCTTCTAAGCACTTAAGAGTCTCTGAGCACGTTTGACAGCATCCCATGACCCCTCTTCTAGATCAAGATGGAAGCTTGCCTCCCTCGTGTCCTCCGATCTCAGTACCTGTCACACTGGAGTCCACACCCACACCTCTTGTGCCCACAGTGCCTCTGTGGAGGGGAGGATGCCCAGAACCCATGAACTTTCACGTCTAACTTCCTTATCTGGAGGTCCATCTAATGCCTGTAGTGACTGCAGCCAGGGATGCTGGGGTTGGGTTGTATGGAACATATGCTTTGGGATCCATCTGGATCTTTGTCCAATATTTCATTCTATGACTTGGGGTCTGGGTTCTAGCCACAATGGTCTGAGATGGGGGAAAGATGGCTGCTGTTGGCCATTGGGGACACATCAGTCCTTTTGAATCTCCATGCTTCTGTGGGCTGACCTTGTCTTGCATGCAGTAAGCACTCAATAGGTGTTCATTATGAGAAAAGAGTGGGGGCTAAATAAATAGCTCAGTTGGCAAAGGACCTGAGTTCGAGACCCCAAATCAATGTCAAAAGCCACTCAATATGGCATGAGTTTTAAACCTCAACATGGAGGAGGTGATGACAGGTGGATCCCTGGGGCTCTTTGGTCACCCAGCCTAGCTTAAATTGTGAGCTGCAGGCTCAGGGAGCAACCCTGTGTTAATTGCCTTTCCTGTTTCTGTAACAAGGTACCTGGCAGACATAACTTGAGGGAGAAAGGTTAATTTTGGCACACAGCTCCAGGGTACAGCCCACCACAGTGAAGGGGTCAGATTGCTTTCTCCTGTTCATTCAGCCTGAGACACAAGACTACACCCAGTGAAAGTGGGCCTTCCCATCTCAACTAAGAGATAGTCCCCTGAAGACGTGCCTGAAACCAAGATGGACACCAGAGGTTCACTTTTGGCTCCCATTATTGCATCGGTGCTGACACACATGCACACACACACACACATACACACACACACGCACACACAAATTCACATCACATATCCAGGAACATACACACACAGTTATAAGTTATTTCATCTTTCTGGTAGAGAGAAAAAAAAGGCCAAGCATGCTGTCTTTCTCATCTTTCAGCAATATTAA